GAAGGAAGGAACGAATGAAGGAAAGGGGGAATGAATGAAGGAATAAATGAACAAAGGATGGAGGAATGAATAAATGAAAAAAAGAAGGAAGGAATGAAGGACGGTAGGAGTGAATGAAGAAAGAAAGGAATGAATGAATGAATGTGATGCATCCAGTAGCGTGTTCTAATTATACATTAAAAAACATGAAATAAGTAAAAACGAAGTAGAATCACAGATTTGGAAAAAGTTAATATGCACATGGTGGTAGGGAGTACTACATCCATGATTAACTTTACATATACATCTAAGTGTACATATACATGTACTGTATATACATATGCATATGTACATTATATAGACATACATAATATAAACATATTTTAAGTCCCGCCCCTCCATGTAAACAAACAGAACGTTGCAATTGTTAGAACATAAAAACTCAAATAATTCATTTTTTCTGTTGACGTCGCTCAAATATTCATTTTTCTCACATGTTTAGCTGTGATGAGTTATTTCACGATTTAAGAAAGAGCTCGTAACGTCATCGTTGTGCGTGGGGAAAGTAGGCGGGACTTAAAGCTCAGAGAGGCAAAACGGCATGAAAAGCATCCAGATGTTGTCCTCTGCTGCAACACGTCTGTTCACACCTGTTGGAACTGGACGAAGCGCCGCAGATCAGCTGAGTTGACCGTTTGTGTCTGACCTGCGTGTTTGGTTTGGGAACTGCCTGATAACACTCTCTCTCCGCTCGTGGTTCTTGTTCTAAACGATCCCAACAGAACCGTTCCTTCCGAGAGCTTTTTGTCACCGAGGGCACTTTTTGTTCGACAGCACGTTTTCTTGTTTGTTGTACTTCATTGAAGCTTCTCGTTCGTATTTAATGAGCGGATAAAATAATTAGTTTTACTGTGCTCCTTCAATGATGACGCTTATACAACATGAACGTTTTATTCAGTTTGAAACATTTCCTAAACAAACATGACTCGGCGTTTTAGTCACACAATGACTCATGTTGTTCTGAGCAGCCAGAGACATTTAGTCTTTTCGTCCATCTATTTATGTCCTTCCCCCCCGCTTCATTTTATTCTGCCCTAATTTCAAATCGCTTTATATTTTCATAATTATATTTCCATCTTCTCCTCCTCTGACCGTCATCCTCTGCTTTTCTTTTGACGTCTTTCCCCTGCAGTTGACCGATCTCTCCGTCTTTTTTGTATGTTTTTCCAGATTATTCGCAAAGTGGACAAGCAGACGGCGCTGCTCGATGCAGACGACCCGGTCTCCCAGCTCCATAAATGTGCCTTCTACCTGAAGGACACGGAGCGCATGTACCTGTGCCTTTCCCAAGAAAGGATCATCCAGTTTCAAGTCAGTACTTTAAATTAACCAGAGATTATTTCTTGTAGATGAGATCAAAGTGTCACGAACCAGATTTTAGTCAAACAACCAAAAGCCAGTCGATAAAAGAAACCTGTACAACTGACTTGACTTTTAAAGTTGATCCTATTCAAGATGGCCGCCACAGCTGAGCAAACCTAATAATCACAGAACGGATTTAGCTTATCAAAAGTTGAGCTGTAGTTGTAGCTGAGAGGCAACAATAACACAAAAAGACAAATATTAATAAACCCCAGATTATAACAAAGATGTCTAACTTTTTTTTTCCTCTCCTGCAAAGTCTGATGAGGAGAAGTTCCACTCGGGAGCTCGGAAACTAAACAGGCCTCAAAGATGGCCGACTGAGAACATTATTTTGCTTTTTTTTTTTTTTTTTTTACGTATGCCGTAATTCTCGGACTACAGAACGCACCCGTCTCTAAGCCGCACGTATTAAATATAAGACAAATCATAGTTTTGTGCATAAATAACTAAGACGCTCCGGTTGTTTAGCGGCGGGCATCCACCGTTCATCGGGATCTGTGCCCCCAGCCTGCTCCAGCTGTGTGCAGCTTTCTCGTTGTAGTACGAGAACCAGCCAGCAGGTGGCGTCGTCACAAGTCTCCGTGAATCTGTCCGACTCATGGTTACAACCATTAAAACTACAATATGAACACAATAAATTATCTGAGCATAATCGCAGTACAGAAAAGTCATTTAAAAATTATATACTGGTAAATATTACCCAGAAGTCTTATCGGGACCATGTGACCGGAAGTCAAATAGTACCGGTAAAATACGGTAAATAGTCGTTAAGTTAGGACCATTGATTTTTATTGTTAAACACTTTTTGGTAACAGCTGCTGTTTTAAAATTAACTTTTTAATTAAATTTGATGTGATTTCTGCTCAGCAGAGCTCATGTGAGCAGGAGGGAGGACGGGGGAACAGCCCTCCCCCCTCGTTGTCTCCTCCGCTCTGTTTAAGCTTAAATGAGATACTGGTATTTAAACACATTTACCGTACACAGAAAGATTTTTAAAAAACTTTTATTTAAATATGTATCAGTCTTGACTGACTTTAAAAATAAATCTGACAGCTCCACCGTTGAGCTCTCATGGACGGAAAGGGGAGGGGCTAAGACTCCTTTCTGTTTCTCCGCTTCGTGCTCGGATGTGAATTTAAAACGGGAGCCGGGTATTTAAACACATATTTACCGACACAAAAAGAATTTAATTTTTTTTAATTAAAATGCACCAGACTTGACAGCTTTGCGTCTCCAATGCCCGACCATCGGCGCGTTGATGCAAAGCTCATGCGCTGCAGCTGTTCCCTGCTTGGACAGCCGATCGCTCTTAACACGAAAGCTGCGTCATAAGAAATTCTCCGTGCGTTTTCCATTATCGCTGAACAAATGAGCAGGTCTGTGCATGAAGCGCAAAATCTGATAACATGGAAACAATCTGAAGAAATTAATTTGTGTCAGTCTTGGGGGATGGTCCTCCAGAGTACCTGGTTGATCATTCAGGTTAGACTTCTGGTCACATGATGACAGAGTGGGTGGAGTTATGGTAGGGAATTTGAAACCATGAGCAAGAGTCGTTGTACGTCTGGATACCTGAGGGCATTCACTCTGTCCTGCATATAAACGGTGGCTTGTACACCGGCAATTATGGTAGTAAACATTTTGTATTTGGTGGTGTATTCTTATTAAATTACATTTTTCTTAAGATTTTGTTTTTTTTACCTTCTTTGCGTTTCTCTCTGCTTTAGGCCACGCCATGCCCAAAGGAACCAAACAAGGAGATGATCAACGACGGCGCCTCCTGGACAATCATCAGCACAGACAAGGCTGAGTACACGTTCTACGAGGGCATGGGCCCCGTGCTGTCGCCCGTCACGCCTGTGCCTGTGGTAGAGAGCTTACAGGTAGCGCTCGGAGCGGGCCGTGAACAGAAACAGCGACTGGGCGCGGGCTCGTGTTTAACCACAGTTTTACTTCCTGCCTGCAGCTGAACGGAGGAGGAGACGTCGCCATGCTGGAGCTGACGGGACAGAACTTCATTCCCAACCTGCGGGTTTGGTTTGGGGACGTCGAGGCTGAGACCATGTACAGGTCAGTCGCAGCTTCAGTAGTTACTGACTTCTAAATGCTTCTGTACGATTTCAGCATCTTTCTCGTTTCACAATTTTTGTGCTATTTCAACAACTCATTTATCAAAACGTTCAGCTCTTTCAGGACAATGTAGCCATGACTTTTGGTATTGGTGCAACTTTAGCTTTTTGAAATATTTAACCTTTTCTGACACTTTTTCCGCATCTAAAATAAGTTGTGTTTTTTTTTCCCATCCTTCAAATCTTTAGAGCTGTTTACAGCCTTTTACTGCTCCTTTCACGTTTTGTTCCTGTTCAGCTTCTTTCAGCTTCACTGTGCAAATTTTTTTTTTTAATCAGCTACTTTCAGCTGTTTGGTGCTCCTTTGAGATTTTTTTTTTAATGCTAACAAACAGTTTTGTTCTTCTAACTTCTTTCTGCTCATTTCATCTTGTTATGATACTTTCAGCTTATTTCTGCTGGTTTCGGTTATTTCAGCTACTATTTAGCTGTTTTTAAGCTAATTAGCTTTTTCATCGAATTCCACTTTTTTTCACTCATTTCAACTTTTTTCATCCCAATTCTAATTCTAGTACTCACTCCTGTTTGTTTGTTAGCAAAATATCTCATGAACCACTGGATGGATGTTAATAAAACTCAAATGAATTAATTGATGTACGTTTACAACCGTTGACGAATTTAAATAAATGTGTTGACTGTAAAATATATGTTTTGTCACGTCTGCATGTTAACACCCCCCCAGGTGTGCAGAGAGCATGCTGTGCGTGGTGCCCGACATCTCCGCCTTCAGAGAGGGCTGGCGCTGGGTGCGGCAGCCCGTCCAGGTTCCCGTCACGCTGGTGAGGAACGACGGCATCATCTACTCCACCACACTGACCTTCACCTACACGCCGGAGCCGGGGCCGAGGCCGCACTGCAGCGCGGCCGGCGCCATCTTGCGAGCCGGAAGCTCCAGCCTGCACAGCAACAGCAGCCAGGAGGCCGGAACCAGCGTGTACGGTCCCAACAGCACCGCCGGCGCAGGGGGCGTCACGTCTTCGTCCACCGCCGCCGCTGTGGTGTCCTAACGCACGCAGGGGGCTCCTTTTAACAGTTTGCCTTAAGCGCAAATACACCCGGAGGTGTACGCAGACTATAGGAAACAAACTGACTCACTCTGAAGTGCTGCATATTCATTCTGGAAACAAACGACGAGAAAAAGGTGAAATAAAAAAAAATCCAGCGCAGGGGGGTGGGATAAAAGGAGCAGGGGACATCTGAAGGTGTGACATCACACAGGTGGGAATAAGAGGAGCTCCTTGTCCTGCACCTCCTCACCCCCCCCCCCACCCACCCTCTCCTGTGGTTACTTTAGGGACCTGCCTTCATGGTCCTGGCGTTTGGGATCAGGGAAGTTCCTGCAGGCTCGGAGCACCAGCACCTTCCTTCAGCCGCGACGAACCGCAACAACAATACATCCAGGACCAAACCGAACAGGCTCAAAAGGAAAATGTACTTCCAGACCCCCACCCAACTCCCCACCTCTTGGTTTTCTATTCCAACTTGTTTCGGATCCAGTCGGAGGGCTGGATGTGTTGTTGTTGAAGGGAGGGCCAGGACGCAGAGGGACTCCGACAAACCCCAGGATAACATAGTTTTTATGGACCAAGGATCTTGTATAAGCTTTAGTAAAGGTACATTTTTCTCCATACCTTTTTTTGTATTAAACATATAGTACACTTTTGTTACCAAATAGTTTCTATTCTTCCTCTGAGCTTGGGCTTTGTTTCTCCCCATTCGAGGTCCAAAATTTATACGTCAACGTGACCTTACTACAAAACGCCTGCTTTTCAGTCTTTGAATTGTTTTGATACTCTCGCGTCTTCTTTTTTGGGGGTAAAGCTAAAGTCTTGGTTGTTTATTTACATAAGCAAAGGTTTAGTTGTTTTTTTGTTTTTGTTTTTCAATTGGGGGAATGACCTCAGAGGGCCTATTTTTTATCATCATTGGTTTTTATGAAGTCTTTAAAAAGAAAAGCTTTAAGCATCGCCTCTGCCTTGCCTGCAATACTCTTATGCGTACTGTCTCGAGGAAAGTACACGCATCAGTACATCTCACGTGGAGCCATGGAAACGTGCAGAATGTGGGAAAAATAACAACAAAACAAGACTTTCATGGTTACAAAAACAAGTCTGTCATTTTCAAACTCATGTAATAGGTGTAGACTTACAAGGTTAGCCTTAGTACTGTATATTCTTACTGTGTACACAGGTAAACGAGTCACATATCTAGTATCTTCTATCTGTTGCTCACTGCTGTGGAAAAACCGTCTCAAACTGCACCCGGCGAGGTGTCTTCCAGTGTGCCGGAGTTCTGCTGGTTTTCCCAAAAGAAAGAAAGAAAGATGGACATTTTTCAATTTGATGTGGCCTTACTGAAAACTTCAGTTACAAACAAAATAATCTTTTCTTATCTGTTGTTTACTCGCGCTGGAAGAGCCTGTGCATAGCACAAAAGCAAGCTAACGCCTGGCTTCCTGTCCCAGGAGCGCGGTGGTTTCAAGCTCATCGCTGCACCTACAGAAACTTCTTTTTTTTCTCGCAAAGCCGCCTTCTGAAGGCTCTCCCAGCCTTCATTCTTGTCCAAACTTCCAGTTTTTATTCCTACTTTTTGTTTATTCCTAACAGGGCTACACGATGTAAGTGAAGATTTATAGTCATTGTATCGATGTTAGCATCACGAAAGAGTAAAATAGGTTTCCGACAAACTACACGAGTAATCTATTTAACACTCAAAGTGTGTACTGGTCAAAATGAAAAATACATTGAAAGTGCAGACACTGAAGGGGTGACAAAAATGTGAGGTTATCCCAATCAATATTGTCTTTGCGATATTCAATATTGTTTTGTTTTTTCTAAAATTTTCTGATCGACTCCCACTGTCCAATGCCCACATGATTTAGATCTTTGTGGCTGGAATATTAAAATAGTGTGAGAAAAAGGAAAAAAAACTAAGTGAATAAAACTGGATTTGGCACAACTGATAGTTATCACAATATTCAATTATATTGTAATTGTGTTCTCTCCCCCCCCCACCAAATATTTTCTGATAGATTCCTGTGTTTAATGTCCACATTAAAATTGGATCTTTGTGGCTGAATAACTACAGTAAAACAGATTGTGGGGAAAAAATTATAAAATCCCCGGTGTGTATAAAACTGCATTTATTGCAAATGATATAGTCATCAAGATATTCAATAATATCGTAATTGCTTGGGGAGTTTATTTCTGCAATTTTCTGATGGATTCCCACTGCTGTCAGTATCTACATTAGATTTATATATTTGGGGCTGAACTACATAAACACAGGTGGGAGTAACAATAAATTAAAAAAACCTGAAGTGAATAAAACTGGATTAGTCACAATCAATATTGTTATCGCAATATTCAATAATATCGTAATTATGTGGGTGGTTTATTTCTACATTTTTATGATGGATTCCCACTGCTGTCGATATCTACATTAGATTTAGATCTTGGGCTTTGAACTACATAAACACAGGTGGGAGTAACAATAGAAAAAAAAACCTTAAGTGAATAAAACTGGATTAGTCACAATCTATATAGTTATCGCAATATTCAAAAATTGGCAATTTTTCCTTATATCGTGCAGCCCTAAGTCTCATGCAGTCCCACCGTTGGTACAATGTCTCCCGGGCGCCGTCGGCTCGTTTCCCGCCTTTTTTTGTGGACATTATGGTCCGGCGTCTCGCCGTGAACTTGTTGCACTCGTACTGTCTCCTGCGGGAGGAAAAAAAAAAAAAGGCCTTCTTCTGATCTAAATGTGTTTTATCGATTGAAAATGAAAACTTACAGCAATATTGTACAGGTCATTTCATCCTTTTATTTTAATTTTTTTTTTTGCCTGCCTGAGCACTAGTTCACCAGCCAGCAAAATACTCACGGCGTTTCTTTTTCCACGTGTCGTCGCTGTGATGGAATACTGAGTCAGACTCGCTCCATTTTAAAAGTTCCTCTCTGAGAAACCGATTTTTATTCTGTCTTCCACCGGGATCCAAACGTCCCTTTGAAGGCATTTGAAGGCAACGCCTGTGATCTTTACATTGCAGTACGACTGTAAACACGTGTGTGTGGGGGGGGGGGGAACAAAACAAAACTGTAACTTGAATGTCCGCCTGATTGAAGTATTTAAGAGTTTTGTTACACCTTGAAATAGGAACGAAAAAGGATTCACTTAATGTAAAAAAAAAAAAAGAAAAATTAAGTTATGCCCCGTTTTGCTATTCATGCCCATTTGTTTGTCATTAATGTAAAATGTTTTATATTATAATATGGATATTTTTTAAATTATTGGTACAAAGTCTCTCCCCTCGTCTTATGTTAAAAAAAAAAAAAAAACCAGAAGAAAAAGTGCTTTATTGCCCGCGCTGCCTGGGTTGATTTGTGAGGTTGATTCTTCTTCTTAAAGAGGCCACTTCCTTCCTGTAGTCCTGGACGGAACGAGGACTGAAAGGTGCTGCCGCAGCAGTTTGTAGCATCCACACCGAGAGCTTCACGCCGAGCCTGAACCTTTTTACTCTGCAGGATGGAGATCACCAAATCTCAACTGTAGATTTTTAACGGGACTCTTTTTCTATGTTTGTCTTCGAAACTTTAAAAAAATTTAATCAGCGAGTTTATACCAGAGCTTCTACTCTCCCTTCTCCGAGCTTGGATATTTTTCTTTTGTGTACGTGTCGCCTCCTTTAAGCCAACCACCCCTGACTCCCTCATCTCCTCCCCCCCCCCCGTTACATCGAAAGCGGAGCAGCTTTGTCACATTGGCTCAAACCAATAAAAGCGGCGATGCGTGCTCTTTCACACACAGTAAAAAGACTAAATAAACGCGTCGCCTCGACAATCGGAGCTGGTTTACAGAGCAGAGTTTTAAGGGATCGGACACACGACGGGGTTCCAAATGTTACACGCCTTCTGAAAATAAACTTTGCTTCTGGTGATAAAAAGAGAAACAAGAGCTCGTTAGCTTCTTACAGAATAAAATGCTCCAGCCGCTTTTTGCTGTCTTCTATTTGTCTCGTTTTTTGTTTTTTTTTACACCTCCAAAAAGCAGCTGTTCTCGTGCTTGTGAGTGTTTTTTTTTACGAGCTCTGAACAATGTACGTATCCTCTAATATGCCAAATGTCTTTTTATATTGTAGTTTTCATGCACTGCTAAACCAACCAGGGCAGAGTGAGAGGCAGCTTTAAACGAATAACGGAGTGTGGAGCCCTTCTCTGTCGCGATCAGCCTTACTTCTCCTTAAGACTCTTTGGCTGTTTGCACTACAGAGCGCTAAACGTTCTACTCGTCTCGTGTTTCATCGCTACGTTTAGATTTCTCACCATTATTATGTTTGTTTTTTTTAATAACACAAAGCCTGTGCTAAGCTTCGCTACAGTCTGGTTTTTGTTCTTTCTTCTTCACGTCCTTCCACTATCGAACTTCTCTCACTCGATCTGTGTATTATATTCTAGTAAATGGTAAGCAGAGGTGTCGTCGTGGTAGAAACCTGTGCCGTTTGTAACATTTTAGCAATAATGTCAAAAAGAAAGGGGACGTTTTTTTTTTTTCGTTTTCTGTATATTTTTTGTTGTCGTTTGTTTTTATAACATATGTTAGTTTGTTTTTGTACATATTGCAGCTCCAGATCATGCTCAAATCTGTATGTCTTTTAAAAGAAGAAAAAAACAAGAAAAAACATGCAATACTGGCATAAAAATGAGAATTAAAAAAAAAAGTGACACAAAGTGTGTGCGTGTTTAAATGAGGTTAAGTCGCATTTTTACACTTTCTGCTGAAAAACGTACAAATAATTGACCAAACCTTATTTTAGCATCGGCTTTAACTTTTGGCCTTTACATTTATTTACTTGGCTTATAGTTGCTGAAAAATATGCAACTTTTACATTTTCCAAATGTGGACAAATTTTAGATTAGATTGCATAAAACTTTATTGATGCCATGGGAAGATTCCTTCAAGGAGATGATTTTTAAACTTATAATCTTCATCCATAAACTTTCTTTCGTCCTAAAAAAATAGTTTTTTAAAAGTTAGTAAGCTCATTCATCCAGGTCAGTGCAAACAAAAAAAGGTTAAAGGTCATCTGGACAAGTTTCTTTAAGGGAGAACCGTTTCGTCTTTCATCAGAAAGACTTCCATCGGTCTGAGGCCGGCCAACCATTTTGTGTCCTCATGCTGTTTCTGTGAGTAGTAAGTTGGTCATCTGGCCTCAAACATTTGTTCACAGTAGCTCCTCGATTATCACAGTTCCACACACCACCGCGACAGATGAAAAACCGCCAAGTAGGAACGCTAAATTTATTTTAGTATTTATATATTTTAAGACTTTATAAACACTTCCCACACTCTTGCAATGTACTAAACCTATGTAATTTTAACAACATACGTATATGTACTGTACAGTACTGCAAAATTTTACTCACCAGCTGTGCAGAACAGCAGCTCAGGTTTGGTTCTGCGGACCTACCCTGCAGCGACGAAGCCCACTATTTGCACGTTGATGTGCACGTGGATAATTAAGCTTCAGGATTATTTGCAACTTCTCTGCCAGTTCTGTGAGCTTCAGAGATTGTTACTTCTGACTATTCATTGCAAATCTTTCCTTTTGTTTCGGCAGTGGCTGGAAGCACTGTTGGCTTCTGGGTAGTGTAGTTAATTTGACTGGCGTTGCTATGTAGGCTTATTGAAAGAAAACTACAAAATGGCGACGCCTGTCCGTTTTTTTTATTTATTATTTTTTAGCTTTTTTATCCCGTACCGTCCCAATTACGTGAGTGTATCAAAGTTGGCTGTCGCTAGAAAAACCGTGAAAGAGCGAGTCCGCGAAAGTCGAATCGTGAAGTAGCGAGGGACTCCTGAACGATGTTTGATTGTTTTGGACCCGGGTCCCTTTTCGCATGTGTTAAAAGTTTGTTTGTTTCTGGGAATCAACAGGAGGCTGGCTTGAAACTGCAACGAAGATCAAAGTTCATGCTCGATAATCCAGGTAATAAATCCAACAAAGTTCAGTCAGGTCCTCTGGATGTTTTTTTTTTTTCTTTTGAGACGTTTCATCCTTCATCCAAAGGACTTCTTCAAAAAGACACCGTCCAGATGACCTGACTGAACTTTGTTGGACAGCATTAAAGGCTTTGGGACAGATCTGTTGGCAGGCCGCACACTGATGAAGTCTTTTTGATGAAAGACGAAACGTTTCTCCATTAAACTTGTCCAGATGACACGATTTAATCTTTTTAGTTTTTAATTTAACGAACCTTGATACACGTTTGTGCCACCTTTGAATGTGTAATGTGCCGTACGTGGGGCTCTTGTTGATCTCATGTTTTTGGCTGCAGGGTGAGAAGTCCCACTAGAGTCCCTCTGTCCAGTCAACCATTTTTTTTTTTTTATGCTTTGATTTTCTCCCCCAATTGTGTCAGAAGAAATGTAGAACTGAGTGACCCAGACTTTTACATTTCTCCTAAATGATGTTTGCACCATCACAGGCTGCAGGGAGAGAAGTCCCTGCTAGAAGTCTTCTGTCCATTTAGTTCCTTTTTGATTTGTTCTACTGATGAAAAATGTCCAGACACGTGACCCAGACTGTGTTCTTTCTGCAGCATGCAGTATATTTGGATCTCCAGTTGCTGCAGGGTGAGAAGTCCCACTAGAGTCCCTTTCAGTCCATTTTTCTTTTTTTCTTGGAAACCTGTTAAAAGCACCGTCAGCCCCGGGTCGGCAGACGATCTTTATACGTCTATCCAGCAGCTGGCTTGGAGTAAAAGGGTTGTAGAGCATAATAACTTTTCCAGAGTCACGCTCAGATGAGCATGACAAGTCTGTAGACTCAATGGGATTTTTTATTTTTTTTATTTAATTTTTTTACATTCAGCCTTGTCCTCAACCCCCACTGCTGCCTTTGGGTCAAAATGAGCCCTGAGGACCGCAGCTTTACAACACAGGCGTTAGGAGTCATTTTCACCAAACGACTGCAGAAGACTTGGAAAAAAAACTTTTTAAGTACAACAGAGAACACAGTATTTGCATTTAGCATCGTACCTGACCAAATTTTTAAAGGAACATTAACGTTTTTAAGACAAAAACTGAACTTAAAACACTAAAACGACATGTACAGGTTGCTATGTCGATGCTATATTTAACGGTAAGACTCGTGTGATGACAGGAATTGGCTCTTTGAAGAGGAGCTGCAGGTGTTTAAAATCCCACAGAGACGATAAGGCCTCTCCAGTTCCCAAGTCCCTTCTGGTACACTTTGGGACGTACAGAAGGTCGAGGACGGGGACTGTTTGAGTTGTCGGGGATTTAGCTTTGAAGCTAGCAGGTGTGATTACACATCAGCGTAGGCAGATGTTTGCTGAGTAAGAAGAAGCCATTTAATTTGCAAAACTTGTTACTCCCGTTATTTCTCTTGATTGCACGTTTCAGCTTTCGAATGGAAAGTTTTTCACACTAGTCGCACTTTTCATTTTATGAAAATCCAGTGTTTGATAGATAAACTGGAGTTTTTAAAACTACTCACTTTTTCTTGATAAATTGTAAAGCCAAAGAAAAGATGGGCTAGCTTAGTGCTCTGAGCTCAGATCTTTCCCGCTCTTTTTGTTGCTAAATGCTAAGCTAAGGGATCTCCGACTAGTCTCTCTACGGGCAAAGATTGTTGTGCCCCAGGGTGGAAGTGTGTCACCAATTAGACAACGCCGATGAACAAAACAACTTTATTCATTGTTAACTATAAAATATTTATCTTACACAACAAAAAAAAAAATACATATATTTCAAAACATTTTTTTTATTATTTCATTTTTATTTCATTTTTTTAATGTCTTATTCAAGGTAATGTGGTGAGTGTTGAGCGGTGGGGCGGCGCACTTGCACCCTCTATTAGCCAGCCGCCACTGGCTGCAATGCATTCTGGGTAAATGATGTAGACGGGTTGCTTCAGTGCAAGCTCCATTCAGCTTGAATATTAATTGTGGACATTATCTATTAAGCCCTTTAATTAAAAACGGAGCATGTTGACAGAGAGGATAATGCAAAAATGACTCAGCTTTTGCATTAGCACCAGAGCTAACATATGACGTTAGCGCCAGAGCTAACATATGACGTTA